GCTTGCATCAATCTCGTGCAGCTATGGGGACGAAAGTGGACCATGTTGGTCTTTACGGTCATTTACATTGCTGGGATTCTAGGCCAGACCTTCTCAAATGGTAGCTTGTCGGCCTTGTACGCTACCCGTTTTGTTACTGGTATTGGAATTGGTACCACGACCGTTTTGCCTTCAATCTACCTTACTGAGGTGAGTAACAAGTATGTACAGTTGCAACCGCAAAATACTAATTCTAGACTTTCAGATTGCCCCCCGAAGCATCCGTGGCTTACTCACCCTCCAATACGCCTGCTGCCAACAACTCGGCGTCGTCTTCGGCTTCTTCTTCAACTACGGCATCACAAAGTACCACGCCGGCACGCACCTCCAATGGCAACTCCCCACGGGTCTGCAGCTCGTCCCCGCCGTAATCTGGGGCATCGGCATCCTCTTCACCCCCGAGTCCCCCCGCTTCCTCCTCTCCAAATCCAGGCGCACAGAAGCCCTCCAAGTCCTTTGTCGCTTCCGCAACCTCCCTGCCGACCACCCCTACATCGTCGCTGAATTCGCCGGCATCGAGCACCAACTCAACCTCGAAATCGAAGCCGTAAGCGGCGCCACAGTCTGGGACTTGTTCAAAGAAACCTTTTCAGTAACCGAGTACCGCCGCCGCTTCGTCCTCATGTTCATGTGCCACATGTTCGGTCAGTGGTCCGGCGCAAACGCTATAACGCAGTATTCACCCTCAATCTTTGGGTACTTGGGTATCCAGGGCGAGGAAGCACGCTTCCTGGCTACGGGGCTGTACGGCATCGTGAAGTTCGTGTCTGTACTCGTGTTTTCGATTTTTGTAATCGATTTCATCGGGCGCAGACGATCGCTTATGCTCGGTATTACGCTACAAATCTTGACTCTCACGTTTGTGGGTGCGTACCTCGGTGTCACGAATGGAATGTCGGCTGCAGAAATCGAGGCGAGTGCGAGCGCTACGGCCGCGAGTAAAGCCAGTATCGTGGCTATTTTTATCCATGCTGTGGCGTGGTCGATTGGTTGGTTCTCTATTCCATACCTTGTTTCTGCGGAAGTCTTTCCTGTTCGTATCCGCTCGCTCAACGTTTCTATCCTCATGGCGTTTCACTGGGCGTTTTACTTTGGTTGCTCGCGCGCTATGCCGAGTCTGCTCGCTGCTACAGATCGCTATGGTGCGTTCGCCTTCTTCGCAAGTATCTGCTGCATGTCGTTGGCATACGTTTACTTTGCGCTGCCGGAGACGGCCGGGCGCTCGCTGGAGAGTCTGGATAAGCTGTTTCAACGGCCGTGGTATACGGTTCGGAGAGTTGCGTATCCCACTGGAGATGATTTAGCGGATGGAGGCGCACGAAGTGAGGGGAAACTAGGGGAGGTGCTGGATGAGGAGAAGAATGGAGAAGTGCGGATTGAACAGCATGTGGAGAGGAAGTGATGAGAGTACGGTGCTGAGATAATGAGAATAAGTGTGAACATATAATTAGGCAGTGGTTCTGTGAACATGTGAGCTATCATATCCGCTAAAATACATGCTACGATCTAAGGAAATCCCTCTCGTCCTTTGTCGCGCCCACATCACGTAGTCAATACTCAGCACCCAAATCCAGCACAAGTAACCAATGGACCACGTTTTTACATATTCGCTATCTCAATCCCTGCATCCCAGACATCTACGAGGTACTAATTAGAAAGAAAAGATACGTGGCCCCGGAAAGAAAGAGTTTAAGAAATAGCAACCCCCAATCGGACGCGCAAACGCTTGTTAACAAAAAACCACACATGTGGGGTGCTAGGAAGAAGCAATTGAATACCGTGATAATCACTTCATTTGTCCAGAGACAGAATACCCCTATGAAAAACGCCGCTTTGAATCATCTATGGTATCCAAAATAAAACACAGACACACCTTGTAACTCGATCATTTTTGCCTTCCCGCAGCAACGCCTAAGTAGGCATGGAAGCACCGTTAGGAGCACCATACACTGAGCCGTTAGGAGGCTGGGGTGTTCCGGAGCCTTGCCTGCTATTATTGAAGCTGTTTTGGGCTGCGAGCCGGGCCTGCGACTGAGCGGCCGCTTGCGCTTGTTGGCGCTCTAACATGATTTGCTGCGGGTTGTTTGGCATACCATTGAACGGAGTCGTGGCAGCAGGCAACTGTGAAGTGCCGTACTGGGAGGGTCCGTAATATGTGCTGCGCATCTGACCTCCGGATACTGGTGTGCTGTACCCAGGACGTGCGCCATAGTTAGATGGCGTAGGTGTAGGCGCACCCTTGATTGGCGATGCAGTGCGTTGTTGTGGTGCTGGACCGCCGTTGTAAAGAGGCGCACCATTCTGTGGACGTGGATAGAAGTTGGCCTGGTTTTGTTGTGCTGCATACCGATTTTGGCCCTGTGGTTGAGGCGTCGAATTGTAGTATTGCGAGCCGGCAGCACCGCCATATCCACTGGGCTGCGCCGAGCGTTGTGGGAAATACTGTCCAGAAGGCGTGGTTCCATAGCTTGTTCGCGTCGTCTGCTGACCATAAGAAGGCGTTGCTGCGTATGCTGGCCGGGAAGAAGGGGCATAAGAAGCACCGCCTGGCTGGAAAGGCTGCTGTACGCCCGAGGGTGAGCGTTGCAGATGTATCGAGGAGGACCGGTGCATAGGGGGTTGTTGTGAGTACATGGGGCGACCGCCTGGTTGCTGTACGGACGGTGTAGGACGGCCGTACTGGTGCCCAGCTGCGGGATAATGTGCACCCGCGCCAGAACCCGTGCGCGCCAGTGTCGCGGGCGTGGAAGCAGTCATTCCAGGTGTCTTTGAAAGTTTCAAAAGCTGATCATCCTCCAAGACTCCCTTGTACTCTTTCGTGTCGAAGAGAATTGTTCGACTGATGTTCAGTTCGTCCATTTGGTCCCCATTCAGTTTGGCAACGGCGTAGGGTGGAAGTTGTGAAATCAGTAGAGTCAGCTGGGACTTGAGAATCTGATAGACATCAAACTCTTCAGACGATGGTGTTGATGGACTGCCAGCCAGGTTTGCCAGAGAGGCGTTCTGAACAACAGGTGTGCGTGGGTTGGTCGTAAGTGAGAGGTTTCTTATCCTTTGGTAGGAAGCCAGTGTTTCGAGGAGCTCTGAGATATCTTTGAGAATTTGTTCCGTGTCTTTTTCTTCTTCGCTCTTCTCTTCTGTGCCAGGCAAAACATCTCCATCAATAGGCGTAAAGTTTTCAACAGCTTCTTTGAACAATTCGTCTTCGTCAGCGGTTCCACTGGCAAGTGCCGCCTCTGCTTCTTCAGGATCGAGCAGCGCCGGGTCAATTGGGAACATTTCATTGAAGCGCTTCTCACCTACCTTATGCCACCACACCATATTCTTTGTCTCCTCGGGAATGATGGCAGACGTGTCGTCTCGGGTTGGTGCAAAGCTAGAGTATGCACTGCGAAACAGAGCATCCTCCTTTGCTTGCTGGACCGCAACGAGAATGGCCTCAGACGGTGGCTGTTGGGCCTCCCCCATACTTAGGGCACGCTGCCTGCTCTTTTGCTTTGCAGTTGGCGAAATTTGGTCTTTGGGCATGTCCACGCCGCCATAACCTAGCCAGAAACCAGACGACAAGTTTTGATGGGCATAAGACTGGGAGCCCTTGCGCCGGGGCTTGGGGGCTTCCTGATGCGCAAAGGTAATGGTGTTGTTGCCTTTGCTTGTTGTTGGCCTGGCAGACTTGGGTGGACTAATCTGTGTCAGGTGAGGAGGTGCCCGAAAGACATTTCCGATTGTCGCGGGTTGCTTCTTGCTATCTGGATCAGGAAGAGGATACACTTCCGTAGTGCTAATGAGGTTCGGGAGATTTGCCTCGCGCAGAGGCAATATCACTTTGACGGCGGTATCGAGGGTGGATATAGGGGTTGTGGGGGATATTTTTTGAGGCTGCTGCAGGCTCGAGAACAGCTGCTTGGGTGGCGCGCTTCCGTATAGTGTGAGGACTGTCCGACTCTGGGGACCCTCTGCCTCATGCTCTTCTTCCTTGATAGCCACCGGAGTGCCTTCTTCTTTTGACGCGTGCGGAGCTGCCTCTTGATTGGATGCTTTTGCCTGGTGGTGTTCTTTGCGTGCTTCTTCTCTGCCCACTAGGTTCTTGAGAATTGTCTGGAAAGCGAGGACCTTGGCTTGGAGTGCAGTGTCCTGGGGAGACGTTGTAGTGGCCGAGGCGTCGCTTGCGCCAGTGGAGGCCAGAATGTCCGTGGTCGCGTTCTCAACATCTCTTTCAAGAGCGTGCAGAGAATCGTAGGAACCGTCTTGGATAAGGGTGGTGATTGTTGCCGGGCCAGTTGGGGGAGTCAGTTTGGTGCGCTTGGAATCAGCTTCTCCAGAGGCAGAGCGGGCTATCGACGAGGTTATGGGATGCGACAGAATCGAGGGCTGTGTGTCGTAGCTACTGGGAAGTCAGCATGTGGACAGAAAGGCGACATTGCCAGTTGGGCAGGGAACAGGTTTGCAGCAGGCGTACCTCTTGAGGACCTCGAGTATGTCGTGCAATGCCGCCTGCAGAGAACGCGTGCCGTCTGCTGGGCTGTCTGCTTGAACAGGCGCGGGAGCGACATTGGAAGGCTTGGGACGGGGGCTGGCGAGTTTGCGCTTTGCAGCCGAGGGCGACGTGGGCGCAGGCGGAAGGGTCGGCGGGGTGAGGGTGCCGTTGGCGGCGGCCATGGTGAGTGGTGCGTGGTGCTGGGGATGCGCTCGTGATGGCGTGGGATGGAACGCGCTCAGGGCGGCCGGAGGAGTCGTTAGTCGCTTGTCTTCAGCAGCATTCCCTCGCCGCGACGGTGCAGGGCGCGATGCAAACAACAGGTGCAAGAAAATAAAAACTCGGACTTTGGCGCAGACAGGCACGAGATGGGGCTCTGTGACGCGCAAGTGACCGGGATCTGGCGATGAATGGTGTTGGAGAATTGGCTCTAGGTTGCCCGTGGTCCAGATGCGTACCACGGCGATGAATGAATTGCTTGCCATCAGCCAGTCAACCATGGCAGCGCGAGGCGCAGTGCCAAGAATTTGCGCCACACTCGCCCGCCTGCGCCACATCTATGATTTTGCTGCTGCCCTCCGCCTGCTATCCGCTGCCTGCCACCCACCCCGTCCTTTTGCTGCAATTGACGTCTACGCGCCCTCGCCCTGGTCGCTTCCGTCAGATGAATGCCCTTCATCCTCTCCCTGGCAGCTCCACGTAGCCCGCATCGTCCTGGCCGTTGTGTGACGCGCCTGGCTATCGGCCTGGTAGGCCTTTCTCACCAACAACGCCGACTTGGATTGCTGCTGACCTGCTGCTTAAGCTTCCTTTCTTCACTGCATCCACACACGCCCCTTCCTTTTCTAGCTGCGATCGCTGTCACGTGAGACGTCACTCTTCGCTGCTAGCATGCCAACGCTCCCTCCCCTCGCCAACCCGCTGCCCGTCTTTACCTCCCCGCAATGGCCCGCCTCTGTGTCGCCTCGAGGCGCTTCAGACACTATCAAGGCGCCATGCATCCACGAGCAACTTAGCCCCACATGTCGAGCCAGACGACTTTCAATCACCACTAGACGCCGTTGAAGATTTCAACAATGACACCCCGTTTCGTGCCCAGTTGTCGCGCAATGCCCGAAAGGTGCTACGCAAGAGCAGACCTGCCATTGTTCTGGCATCCATCAATGGCCCAGCCAAAGACCTCTACAGGGATAATAACTCCAGCCAGAGCGCTTCGTCATACACTGCACAAGACTCTATGACCCAGGAACAAGATTCGCAAACCCTTGCGACAGCTGGCATATCCGTGCAGCATCCTGAGCCTGTTTCGCTCTATTCTGTACTTGCGCGCTACCTCGAATATCGCACCTCCTCACCTCCCACAGAGTCTGATTTTCGCTTTACTGCTTCAGAGTTGCACTTGCTGCGATCCAAAGGTTACATACCCGAAAGCGTGGAGCAGTGGGCAGCATGTCTTGTAGAGCCCAAATGCAATGTGGCGGCTGCAGTCTTCGAACAACAGTCTGAGGTACCCCCTCTCTTCCTGCTGTTGCTATTTCTGCGCCGCAAGCATATCAGAGTGCACAGTTTAGGTATCATTATGAGGCACCTGGACCGGATTGTCCAGTTAGACACTGTTGAATGGTCCCAGCTCAAGATTATTGCAGTCCGCCTACTCCGCCATGTGCGCGAAGTCTGGCCTGAGTCTGTGACATGGGTCACGTCTTTCCTGATTGCTCAGTCCAGTCGCCTACACGATAGGTCGCTCCGAATGCTGTCTGATATGACTCGCTTCTTCAATTCCTACCTTGTGTTGCTATGTCTGCCTACAAGCGTCCGGCCCTTAGTCTGTGCGACTTACCAGGAAAAGGCTCAGTTTCAGATGCTCAAGTACATGGCTAGTACATCACCATCTATGGTAGTGTCACGCCCCGGTTTCCGGGCAGTAGCTCGTAATCAGTTGGCTCATGCCAAGACCATTCAGGAACGAGATTGGGCAGAGCTCAAAGGCCCATCTTGGCCGCCGTGGAAGGAGAACCGTACAGCAATGGATGAAGAAAAAGGCTACAATTTTGGTGCTTCGCGGGCCTCTCAGCTCTTACATCGCATGTACGAAGCTGGATACACCAATCGCATGTTTGAGGATATGGTGCAGATCTATGCTGGTTGGGATACAGACAACAGCCCAACAATACAAACTCGAACTACACTACCACATGTTTCTTCGAGATTCAACGACAACCGCCATATACGCCCGCTGCTCTGGGCTGCGCGTATACGGACCACACGCACGCGAAGAGAGGCCTGGGCGTGCTTCTTGTCCCACGAGCTTTCGGATGAAGGTGCTCATTCCGAGGTGTACCTTGCCATGTTCGAAAAACTGCATTACTCTGCTGTAAGGAGAATACCTGCCCCACCGCTTTCGACTGATGCAGATCAAGCTCCTGAAGAGGATAGTAATCATCTGCTACCTGGAGACATGAAAGAGGTCCTGCCAGATCCCTCATCTTCATTGCACTATGTTTATCTTAGTGAGCCTGTTCCTGAGTACAAAGAGCTACTTGAACGAATGCGTACCACCAATATCAAGCCTTCGCATCGATTACTTGCCTTTCTCCTGGAAACATGTCCGGACTTCCACACATGTCTGAATTTACTACATATGAGTAGACAGGATTTCAATGGTGGTATAGGCCGCATACTGTATGGTATGAATGACGATGACGCCTCGGTCCATTCAGTTGATGGATACCTCTTCACAGCTATCATCCGGTTCTTGTGTCGTTTTGGGCGTTTCGAGCGACCGCCTCCACAGGAACCCACCGTACTGGATCCTCACGAACATGCGCAGCAGATTCGGACCAACAGGAATTATCTCTTGGAGTATGCGCATAGCCTTCTTGTACGCTATCGGCCGAAACATCGGCCTGCCTGGGCAATCTTTATCAACAAGCTGCTACATCAAAGAAAACTTCCACAGGCCGTCCAAGTCGAACGCTATAGGGTCGTCTGTGATTTGCTTGGGCACATTGAACAAATCGATCTTGATGTTGATGATGACATCTTTGGCTGTGCATGCATGGCGACTACGTATGCCGCACAGAGCGTGGATCAGAGCATTGCCTCTATCAAAGACGCGCGCTTGTTGTCGACAGGCTCGGCCCGTCTCAGGGATTTATTCAACAGCTTAGTTGGGGCCAATGTCAATATGCATTCTTATCCAGAACAGCCTGTGAACGGTGTTGTTTCACCACATGTTCCTGGGCCTACAGAGCTCCACCTGTATGTGCGAGCCTTAGGCGCTCTGGGCGACTACGAAGGGCTCTACTCGTTTACGACCTGGCTGACCAATTACCATTCTGAAGTCAGTGTACGTGCGCAAGCACAGCGCGGTGGCATGAACACTTTGTTCAGAATGCTGGTGGCGTTGAGATTGGCTGTTAGCGGTGGAGGGCCAGACATGGGATCTCAGCATGCATCTTATGCACCCGAAGACATTGCTTTGCTTATCAGAAAGCAGATTGAGGGTGTGGAAGAATGGGGCGGGTGGCCGACACAGGAGCATGTCAAGATGTACATTCAAAAACAGTTGAAGTCGCAAACTCCGTCTGCAGGGGGGCGGTAGAGTACGAATCCACAGACGGATATTTTGGTTGCTATTGTCGTGATAACCCGTAGATCAGCCCTCTTGAGTCTGAATACAATGGTTGGTCGCATCAATACCCGAGTGTAGCTCTGGATATACTGCAACAGTGAAAGAACATAGAAATGGAAACGATACTAAACCAGCACCAGTCCTTTCACGCTGGAACAGGCACCAGGCTATCCTTTGCCAAGCCATGATACGCCTGCTCCAAAGATGCCGTCACTTGCGCAAACCTTTCCAGCCACTGCAACTCCACCTCTGCACGAGGCACAACCAGCACCTTGCCAACATCCTCCTTCGCATCTTCGAAACAAACCTGAATGCGAATCGGCGTAGCATCAGCGCCTAGATTCTGTCGTCCCATCATAATTGATGACTCTTCAATCGCATCTCCCTCACTATTCCCCTCTACCTCTTTACCCTTTCTCACACCACGAGCCCATACAGGTCTACCCTCAATAACCCTTTTACACTCCTCCATCAACTCCCCCTCCACCTCCACCTTTTTCCCATCCAGCAACCCCATCCGCAGCACAACCCCATTAAACAACCGCACACAGCACTCATACGGCACAAGCCCAGGCCACACAAAACGATGCAAAAAACCCCTGTGCCGCCGCCACTTTCCCGCTCTCGCTACATTCACAATCCGCCTCGCCTGCGACCGCATCGTACTGGGGATATGTGCCGTATTTAGCGTGCTGGGCGCGCTCGACCGCGGGTCAAACGGCATCTTAAAGCACGTAGGATGTGCTTCGTACAGCAAGGCCAGCTGCTCCAATTGCTCCGCCAGCACTTCAGCGTTGGCCTCACGGGCACGCTGGTACGATGCCAGAAACTCGGCAAGCGACGCGGGTGTCGGGAACGAAGCAGGGAGTTGCGGGAACGAAGCATCATCTGGAACAATCGGGCTGAGTACGCACGTCACCATGCGAGATAGCTGGCTAAGCCAGTGCTTGACCAGCGCTTCGCTCGTCTGCAGATTCCGCACTTGAACGAGACTGTATTTGGAACTCCACTCCGAAGCTTTGTACGCGAGGAAGCGTAGGTTTCGCTCTTCGTAGATTCGAGTAGCGTCGATACATTTGCGCGAGGGCGGGAAGCCGTGTTTTGCAACTGTGTCGGTTATGGCGAGGAGTTCTTGCAGCGAGGTTATGGAGGCTGGGGAGGTGAAGTGGTGATTCCAGGGGGAAAGGCTGTGCTGGAGGGACCAGGTTAGGCGGGGGCCTGCGCACGAGGAGAGGCGGATGAGTTGGTGGAATTGGAGGTGTATTAGGATGTCTTCGTGGAGTTCGCAGGGGAGGGATTCGAGGTTTTTTGATATGCGCTGGTATTTTGTGGTTGCTATCATCTTTTTTTGTTCACCCCCGGAGGGTGAAGTTCTTTTTTTATGGATAATTTGAAGTTATATATATATAGGATCTGACTTTGTTGTTTTGTTTCGTTTATGTGGACTTTGGCTCGTAAAACATCATTCCAGCTCCTTGGGTGCGGTTTTTGTACGTAGTAAAGTAGGTGGGGTTTACGATACACGAGGGTTTTGAGTCATTCACAAAAAGGGCGCTGTTTACTAGTAGGCAAAAAGGGCTCAAGTGGGTTAAAAAAATGGCGTTGAAAAGGACAGCGCATTGAAGCCTAACTTGCATTGTTGCCTGGAGGCTTTATTTGAATTGAGCGATACCCCCGGGATCTACGTGAGTTGTTTGGTGGGTAGAGGTCTACAAACATGACGATAGAGCTGTCTCCGTTACACGCGCCACACTTTGCGGCTACGAAGTCCGCTGAGGAAATATGCGAGCGGCTTCGCGCTGATGAGAAACTGATCGATGCACAGAAGGCTTGTAGTTGGGTGGCATGGTATCTACCCGGCTACGATACAGACCTCGGAAGAGCAGTTGCTGCACGTCTAACACCGATACCTGGTGTGAACCACGAGCTCAGACGACTGATTTATGAGAATTGCCTTGGAAAGATTCGGCAGTATCTGAAGAACGATGGAACCAATGCGGCACACAATGTAGCTGTTGAAGAGATGGAAGAAGTTGGAAGAGAGATTCTCCCAGAAGAGTTTTCAACGGCATTAAAGGTTCTCATACATTTACAGGAAAAGAAGATCATTGGACGAGACACCACTACCGAATCCATTACAACATGGCTACAGGAGCAAGTTGCTACCCACCATGAGACTCCTACTCCAAGCATCCCAGAGCCACCACCCGTACCCCGCAAGCGACTCTGCTACATCTGCCGGCTCGAAATCAAACGTCCGTTTCCTTCTCACCCATCAATGTGCATGCCCTGCGGCGCCTTCAACCACGCATCATCCCAAATCTCCATGCCACCAAAAATGACCTTGGCGCCTGATTTCACCGCCTTGGTCACTGGAGCACGGGTTAATCTAGGATACCACACTGCGTTGCGATTGCTGCGTTGCGGAGGCCGAGTCATAGCTACGAGTCGGTATCCGCGAGATGCTATATCGCGATATACAAACGAGGCGGATTCTGGCCAGTGGATAGACAGACTCAGGGTGGTAGGTGCGGATTTTCGGAGCGCTAGAGATGCGTTTGAGTTGGTGCGTGAGGTCAAGGTAAGTTCTTCTTTTTAGCTTTCTACACAAGAACGTCAATTCGAGGCATAAACTGACGTGTGATGTTCATCTTTGCAGGAGTGTTTAAAGCAGTGGGCAGATGGTGGAGAACCCAGGTTGTATGCGTTAATCAATAATGCGGCTCAGACTCTTACGGATAGTCTTAAGAAAGAAGAGCGTGCCATGGGGCGCGAGCAAGACTTGAAGAAACGTGGGACGCATGCGGGTTTGTTGCTTGGGGAGAACTACACGGCGAGAGTGAGAGGTGGAGCACTGCCGTTGGCATTGGAGAACGGGAAAGCGCATTCGACACGGATGGATGGCCCAGAAAGCAATACCGATGCTATGTGGACTCTAAAAGAAGTTGATGCGTCAAAAGATACCACGACAGAAATCGAGCCGTATACCAAGTCGTCGTGGGTACAAGGCATGTCCGAGATTCCTTACGAAGATGTTGGTTCCGCGCTTTCCGTCAATACGTTTGTTCCTTTTATCCTCTGCCGGGAGCTCCTTCCACTGATGGGGATTATTGAGCTGTCACCGGAGGCGGCATCAGGAAAGGCTTCCAAACCCCAAGGCTACGTCATCAACGTCTCCTCGCGTGAAGGCATCTTTGAAGACGTTCTTACGTCGAGGGCGAAACGGGGCAAGCACGTGCATACCAACATGTCCAAGGCGGCGTTAAACATGCTGACGGAGACCGAGGCGGAGCCTGCATGGCGGACGAGGAGAGTGGCCATGAACACGGTTGACCCGGGGTACATGAGCGCAGCACCAGAGTACGAAGATGCATTTGATGGGACACGACCGATTGGGTGGGAGGATGGTGCTGGGAGGGTGTTATGGCCGATTGCTGTAGCGGAGATGGAGGGGGTGGTTGTCCGGGGACGGTTCTTGAAGCATTACGGTGCTGTCGAGGTGGATCCGGGGAGGGGGAGGGGATGAATAGTACTAGTACCCTCTTCTTTTTTGGTCCGCGGCAAAGTCACATCCGGCGCTAGGAATACATGTCCTCGACACACAGCAATGGTGTTTTGTCCATGGATATCCATGACGGAGGCATGTCCGTTTTTTGTCTTTGGAACCGTCGGTCCGTTTCGGTGACGTAGAGGCAGGCTACAACGTCCCTGGTGCCGAGGGGTCAGTTCGGACAGTGCAAGAGGCGGGGCCGAGGTGCTAGCTTTGTCTTTGATACAGGGCTTGAGCGGAATGCATGGTGGTGGAACTATGGTTTCGCAGGCTGTTTGTTATGTAAGCCTTGACGATGGTGTAGCAGTATGCAATTGAGTACTCTGAGATGGGGTTCATCATGCCAGGGTATAGAGTAAGCACACGTTGTACATGATGTGCACATCAGACCGTCCTTGCACTAGCTTACCAGTGATGGTCAGGTCACGTTTGGCTTTGTTCTTTTCAACATGCACACGGCCGATGATGCCTCCTTTGTGCTCTGAAGCATTGGCACCGATGCACAATGGCGCGTTACTTGTGTGTACTCACTCTCCATACGGCAGCCGGCGGTGTCGAAGCGTGCTATGGCATGGAGGCATAAATCAGCGAGGGTCAGGTGGACGGGCCGTGTAAGAAGTCTGGTCACGAGCAGGGCTGGTACGGAGGGCCCTGAATCCTTATTGACGGGTGCAATCTAAGGAGTGAAGACGCGTGATCAGGCAGGAGATGAGCGTCGGGCCCATAGACGCCTCTGCCGATGCCAGCCCCGCGACAGCAAACGAGCGTCTTTCAGTCTCCAACAGGCCCCTCGGTCAGTCCCTTCTGGCGCTGGTCAACAGCCCAGTCGCAATCGCACGGCACATTTCTGTCTGCCTGCCTACTCCATCGCATCCCATCGCAAACATTACAAGTGTTCACTTCAATCTGCTAGGCAGCCATATCGCGGGGTAGGACAATACGAGCATAGTACAGTAACCCTCTCGGCCAAATACCTACACACGACAAGCACGCTGCTATCAGTCCTCTCGACCACAGACGTTACCACCACCCACTCACATTCATCCTTACTCTCACACATTCACCCACGCACACACAAATCATGGCGTCCTTTTTCGAGCAGTTGTGGGAGTCCATCTTCACGCCAGGGCCGACTCCTACGCTCCTTGTCGCAACAAACGCCTCCTTCGCCGCACTCCAACTTCTCCTCTTTGCCATGCTCCTCGCGACCTACAGCATACACTTCATCATCTTGTCTCTCCTCTGTGGAGGTCTCTGGTGGTCAATCAACTGGTTTGCGGCAGAAATCAGGGCTGCGCAGGAGAAAGAGGAGGAGGCGAAGCGGATTCGTGAAGCTAGAAGAGGCGCAAAGGAGAAGGGTGATGATGGTGATGGTGAAGCCATGGACTCGGGAGACGATACCGAAGTTGAGACCGAGGTTGAGCAGAGACAGGTGCCGCAGCCCAAGCCCAAGCAACCGCGTGCTGAGGCACAGAGCACTGTCTTGGTTGACAGACCACAAGGCAGTGCTGTGAGCAGCCCACCACCTCCTCCTGTGACGGCCGGTGCGAGCACTACTACGGGCGCGACTACAGGGCTCGCGGTCCCTGCCAACGAGACAACCAAGAGAAGAAAGGGTATGGCTGAGTCTACAGGCGATTTGTCTACGGATAGCGAGTGGGACAAGCTGTCGGAGGATTCCGAGGATAGATGAAGACGTTTGTATTTTGCTGGCCGCTGCTCGCCATGGTTCTGTATGCTTTTTTGGATGCTAGACGCGATTAGACTGTGCATCTGTACCCCGATGTCGCGACACGTGAACACGCGCTGCTGCTGCCACCCCTTTCCCCTGTGCCCTGCACGTCAAGGCGTTGTACATTTGTCTCTTTTCCAATCCAGGAGCAGAGAGTGATCTCTGCTGATCTCACCTCACCCAGCCGGCCATGCATCGGGCCTGGAGTTGCAATGACTGACTGGGCTGTGCTTGCTTGCCTGCTTGCCCGCCTGCTTGCCCGTCATGCCCCGCCAAAGCTTCCACCCTCACCCATCACAATGCCCGAATGCCCAACTCGCCCATATCTCCCTTTCCACATGTCGCTGACGACGACGACGCCTTGGTCCCAACCCGCACCTATAGCGGCCCTGCTATCCCATGTCTAAGCTGCTGCCTTGACCCTGACATCCGCGACTATACTTTGCATAAACCCCCGCCGTCGCACACGAGCAACCCCCCGCAATGGCTGCCATCAACACGCCCGTGAGCGTCGCAGAAGTGGCCGAGCAGGCTGGAAACTACACCTACGATGCGCACATTCCCCTGGCAAACTGGCTGCGCACTGCCAATACCATGCAGAAAGAGGTGCGTCGCTAGACTCCATGCAAGGTGCGCATGCTCACAGTTTCCCAGGCACAAGTCTACGAAGCAGAAGGCAACGATGCGCAGACATACCTCCTGCTATACCGCCACGCCGACCTTGTCCTTCAGAAACTACAGGGCCACCCCGACCGCAACAAGCCCGAGAATCGCAAGGCGCTGAATGCTGCCACAGCCGCCGTCAGCCGGGACCTGAAGAAGCTCGAGGAAATTGCGCCCCGGATAAAGAAGAGACATGAGGATTACGAGGCAAGGCGCAAGAGGCAGCAAGAGATGCTCAAGTCGTTGGAAGGCAAGACTGCTAGTTCTGCTTCTCAAGAACTCGACGGGTCCAGGAGAAGGTCGTATGACTCGAGACGGACTATTGACGCGCGCGCTCAAGATAATCATTTGCTGGCTGCGAGACTGGCGCAGCGAGAAGTAAGGAGGAGAGCTACGAACAGGATAAGTGTGGGACAGCATAATGTTTTGGAAGCAGACGACCCGGCACGGCGTTCTGGTGGTACCTTGGATAGTTGGCAAAATGAGTGGACGCAGCACGGCAGCGACAGAGATGATATTTCTAGCCAGATACAAGAGGTTGCTAGGTTGCAGCAAAATGGCCAGAGAGCATCGTACTCGTCCGTAAGTTGGAACCCGACAATGCCTAGTGCCTCCATATACTGACAAGCACAGCATCCAGCATCTCAGTCGACATCTACATACCATTACCCAACTGTTCCTCACAAAACAGCACAAGAGACATGGAACGACTCCCAATCGAGTGGTGTTCCACCAACGAGACCCCCAAAGGAACAAATATACAGGTCTTCAGGTCTCCCCATGGTGCCTCCACCACTGCCTCCCAAGCCTGCGGCCTCTCCATACGATTCGCGATCAGAACGTCCACGCCCTCCACCTGTACCAGGCAAGATCTCGGAAAGCGCACCACCATTGCCAGGCAAAGTACTCGACCAGCGTCCACTCACTCCTTCTGGAGAATTGGACGAGTTCACCTTCAAGCCCTCTGCCTATCTTGAAAACGGAGATCCGCTTCGTCCTGTCTTTCTGCCGTCTCAACTCCGCAACCAGTTTCTTTCCCTCGCATCATCCAACACTCGTCTCAACCTCGAAACATGCGGTATGCTTTGCGGAATATTAAAATCCAACGCCCTCTTCATCACGCGCTTAATAATCCCCGAACAAACAAGTACCAGCGACACGTGCGAGACTTTGAATGAAGAGGAACTCTTTGACTACTGCGATAAAGAAGAATTAATGGTCCTAGGCTGGATACACACGCACCCAACCCAAACATGTTTCATGAGCAGTCGCGATTTACACACGCACGTCGGATACCAAGTCATGATGCCCGAAAGCATAGCCATTGTCTGCGCTCCCACTAAACAACCTAGGTTCGTTTTTCTCTTTCTTCCTCTTGGGCCCTTTCTTCCGTTCAGTATGCTAATGAAAGAATAGCTGGGGCTGCTTCCGTCTCACTGACCCCCCAGGTAAACAAGCAATACTCAGTTGTACCCGCCCGGGCATCTTTCATCCTCACGACGTGGATAATATTTACACCGAAGCGCTTAAACCGGGGCATGTGGTGGAATTGATGGATGCGCCGTTGGAGTTGGTGGATATGAGGCCGAAGAAGAAGTTTTAAGAGGGTGTGGTGTGTGGAAATGGGATTGAGAGGTGACCTTTTTTTTCGTTTTTGTGGTAGGAAAATGGATATATTGCATAGCGAGGGTTGCATACGATTGCAATGTTTGTAACAATGGGGAGATGGAGATAGAAGTGATATCTAGAGAAGCATGAACCTGATAATATATGAAAGACCTTCCCCTTAGTTACTTTTGCAAAACACTGATATACGTTGGTGATTTGTGTAGTATATTTTTTTTTTCCAAAATGTACGTTTTTCTCTTCCTTCCCCCCCCTCTCCTCCCCGTACTTCTTCAAACAAATATTCGAAACACTTGTATCCCACATTTTCCCCAAACCAAAAAAAATTATACCTGATTTGCTTCTCCTAAGGATTACGTGACTTTATACCCAAATATCATCTCATCTTTTGTATCCTCACGTGGAGCAGAAGGGGGGGTTGGATATAGATATAGGGTAAAGGAAACGAGTTCGTTACGTGGGTTTAATGGGTTTTGATGTAGCGGAGGGTGACAATATCCATGTTTATATTGATGGTGGATGATTTTAGTTTACAGTTTTGGTGAAAAAAGTAAGAGAAGCAATGAGTGTGTATGTGAGATAACAGCTTAGGTAGGTAAGAGCAGTATCTAGCTGTGATTGTTGAGTGTCACGGGTCTAGGAGGAGGAAGGGGGGATTTGCCGTCGTGATTCTCTTTCTTTTCCTTTCTGATGGTAAAGTAAACATGGGTATTTGGCGCGATTTAGTCTTGCTTGAAAGATTGTATGATGGGGAGATATAAATTGGATCGACAATGTCTTCTTTCTTGGCTGGTTTACATAGAACCAGTCCAATGCACACAGCTCGTATCTGAAACAAAGAAAAACAAACAACTCATGGGGGAAACAGTAGCAATGAGCAAGGGGAGGGGTTGTTCCTCGCGAAAACTAGGACAAGGAAACTGGTAACCCTTACCCCCCCCCCTTGCATCATTTCGTGCCACTTACCTTTTTACCATCGCACCTCCCCCACAAGTTCATGTGGGAACAAAAACAGGTACCAGGCGCTCTCTTCACGACTCATACATCACACACACCCCCCACAAACCCCATCTTCCCTCGCTCTCGTATCATCGATAAGAAAAAACCTCTCCCCCCAAAACACCTCACGATCGTCGACGTCATCACCTACAAACAAGAAGAATGTCACTCCCTTCACCAGCCACCCGCCAATAACAGGATACATGTATCTAAACTGCGCCCATCCCGGAATGGCGGATAAGTGCCGTATCCGTGTGTGTGTGTGCCGGTAACCGAAAAGAGCCTAAGATTGGATCTCACAAGTTCAAACATGGCCGCGAACCCGATAGATTTCGGGAGATCGACAAATACGTGCTATTAGGTACTTACTCTACATCAGCGATGGTTTCGTTTACGCCATGGGCTCTTGTATATGCTCAAGCAAGGCATGATATGTTTTTTTTTTAAAGTTGAAACAAAAGCAGGTTTTCGCGGCGTGGTGTTGGTTTTCGAGCTGATGTGCGGCGCTTGGAAAAAGGGATTTGCAGCGTTGGTGGGACTAGGGAGGTTTGGCTTGTTTAGTGTATTTTTTCCTTCTTTCATTTGCGTTCTTGATGCGGCTGGCGAACCATTTTTGGTTTTTTCTGGTTTTGAAGACCTTGCGCTACGGGTGTGGGGATCGAACTTATCCAGGTTTTTTTTCTCTCTTTGCTTTGCTTTACTTTCTTTTCTACTGGCCTTGTTTGTGCAGCAGTTTGGTGGTTCAGTTTCACCCTGGCGATCTCGGCATGATCCGAGTGTATAAGGCCGAGGGGCATATGAAAATTAAGTGATGATCGGGATCGGAAGATAGCAATCTTGGTGGCCTTGGTAGTGTAAAAGGGTTGGATACAATTGGGTCGGGATGAGTATCCATTTATGTGCGCTACTGCTGAGATCAGGCCATCGTGGTTGTCGTGGTTCAAACATTGGGTTGGATGGAAATGACCACCAAGAGCTCAAGACTTGTCAAGTGTTCTCCCGCAATCAAAAAAAGACGTTCAACAGGCTCGGTACTGAGTCGGCAGGACACAGCCTGAATGATGCGTACCGAGTTGCCCACCCTGTTGCCGTTCGTTAGTCGTGTGGCCTTGCTTTTCTTCTACGTTGCTCTTGGCTAGCGACGGAGCCTAAGGGACCCATTAACACGAGTTGGCGTTACATCGTAAATCCAAAAAAAAGAATCTGCCGCAACTGGGCTGAGAAAGTTCAAAAAGCCCAAGGCTAGGTGCCGCTGTCTGGCTTCCGCTCGGTAGTATTATTAACCTGCAAGTGGAGATTCCGAGTATCAATACGATATTCAGGCACGCGATTCGGTGATTGTGTGCACATGTGAGCGATGTGCTTGGACATGTGATGGCCTGACCAAGGGGTTTCCGAAAACAGCAAGGTAGGTGATGAAGTTTTTCTTGGTAGTATTTGGCGACATGGAAGGTGTACGTATGGGTATTCTAGGCGTGCTCATGCAAGAGCCAGTCGATAGGAGACTGGGATACACTGTGTAAGGTATTCCAATTTCTTGGTACCGAAGGGTGATGCGCAGCGGGGGAGGGGGAAGGGAGGGGAAGTTGTAATGCAACACTTTCCTGAGCAGTCTAGCCCCGTCTCCGACCAAACATGGCACTCGATGAGTTTGGTGTTTTTAGGAGCTGTGC